GACTCGACTGGAGGCACCGAGAGTTCCGTACATCTCACTCCCACCCCTACACGCAACATAGCAGATTCGAGGACTTCGCGGGAAGTTTCTCCTGGCAGAAGTATTTTCGACCGCCTCGGCCTCAACGCTACGCCAGGATCGCTTTTGGAAGACCCAAGTGGCGGTGATCCTATGCTGGAGAATAGCTCCAACGATGCGGTTAAGGGCCCCGTCTCTGTTTTCGCTGATACTCTTCTTGACTTCGGATTGGTTTGCGGTCGACGTATCGGACTACTTGAGGGGACCAAGATCCTCGTCGAGACGCGGATGATGGACCTTAGGGCTGAAATGGATAAGGCCTGGTCAAGCATCAGAGAGGGCCGGAACTGTGAGAGAGGTTTCGATGCTATTGAGTCTGACCTCAGGCTACTGGCAGAGGCGAAAAGTAACGTCGATGAGGCTGTGCAAGACGCCGAAAACGAGTTCCAAACCTATCGTTCGGCTTTCGTTGACAAAGTTCAAGCAGCGAGCAGACATTTGGCACATGTCTAGGTAGATATTTCACGAGTGGTGTCGTCATTTTGGTATTGGCCACTCGACCATGTCCGGGTTGCAGGACGCAGCCTTTGCTGGGAATATTGCCTGCGCGTACAAGAGGTTGAAGCAAAACACGTCTGTCAAAGTTGGCTTTTGGAGGAACGCGTCAAGAAGCCCTCACGAATACAGCGGCGATACCGCCTTCAAGATCCGAAGTAATCCCCATGATAGTGAGAGTGTTCAACGTGCTTCTCTTTGATTTTTCTGTCTGTCTGTTCGTGGGTCTGCCTTGATAGTCTCACCGGTTGACTCCTTGATCGTTTCCAATTTGGACACGCTCGGATCGGCAACATCGTCTAACGGCCTCCACTTTGTGTGTCGTTAAAAACTTTGTTGCCGGGAAGCATTATCAAGACCAAGTGTCGTGATGTTTAAGTTGGAGAGATGGTTGACATGCGACGACGCCCCAGCAAGGTGAGGGGTTGGAGTTGCAGATAAAAAGGATCCTTGGACCTGGGCCAGTTGTTGTAGAAGGCAAGGTGCACTTCGGCTCTACCCAACTACCAAAGGCGGTTCGGGCCTAAGACGACATCCGACTTCACATACCTAAAGGCATCTACATGGACAGATGGTTTCCCTAAGGAAGGAATTCAATTTTCTTGCAACAAGATTGAGGAGACCTCGCCTCACGCAGCTCGACGGGTAGCGATGAGACACGCTCACTTTCTAAGTTTCTAGAGAAGACATGCACGAGCGACCAATCGCCCAATGGCGGCTGACGACAGGCCCCTTTAACCATTACCGTCTTTCCGACATCGCTCGATGTCACCTGCAGATGTAGTAGTCGCCGAGTTGGAGGCTCTACGGAAAGGCCCAGCACATGACAGTACCCTCTTCGCAGTCGAATGACCCGCGCTTCACTCCAGCTCGACTTCTATGGAGCATTGGGTATGACGAAAGACCTCCAATCCCGTCGTTCGATATTTTCTCTGAGAGTTGTTCCAAAAACAGATGCATGGGACTTCTCGTGCTCGGGTCACGGCACCCAGCGAGCGGTGTGCCTTCTTCTTTTTCGCGACCTCGGTCAAAGAACATAAGCACGAAAGCGCGCGGTACATCTTGGCAATCTGAACGAAGGAAAATTTACGGATGCCGCAATACCTCCAGGCCGTCCGGCAGCATTACCAATGTGGACGTTGTGGGTGATCCACTCGATCGGTGCAATGTCGGTCTTCTTACGGTTCTCAAAGTCCGGCGTCATGTGGAGTCCGCCCATGCTACCGAGCGCCGACAAGTGCTGACGTCGACATCGTGCAAGCGCATCATTGTCAGCAGGAGACGATATGGACTGAAAAATAGTCGTTTATATAGAGTCGTTCGTCTCAAGACCTCATTGGGTCATTGCGAAAGCTACCAAACTCTGTAACTAAACTTTCTACAATAGTCCCCTGTCATATGCCACGGAAATGACTTTGACTTTCGTTCCCCTGCTTGCCGCCACATCGGCAGTCTATATACTGATCAAACTCTACCAGGTTTGCCTTGGAGAATCCCAAACTTAATATCTTTCTTCTGACCTTCCTCAGATTTTCACCAACCCCCTTAACGCAATCCCCGGTCCTTGGTACGCGAAATTCACCGGCTTGCCTGGCACTATCGCGACCCTCAAGCGGCAGCAAGTTCAGTATTACCACCGCCTGCACCAACAATATGGCCCCTTTGTACGTGCATCACCAGGCCAGGTCTTTGTATCAGACGTGAAGGCCTTCAAGACCATCCACAAGGTCGGAAGCCAGTTTACGAAAGCCGAATACTACCACTACTTCGGGCCAACCGAGGCTGGCAGCCCTCCGTACGGCTTGTTCCAAATGACCGACCAGCAGGCCCACTCTCAGAGACGCAAGCTCCTGGGTAGGGGTTTCACATCCTCCTCGCTGCGTGCAGATTGGGAAGACATGGTGCGTGAGAAGGTCACAATGGCCCTCGAGGGCATGACCATCGACGCAAAGATTGGCAACGGTGAAGTAGATATGCGCAAGTGGTGGATTCTCATGGCATGCGATGTTGTCTCGAAGCTCATGTTTGGAGAGTCTTTTGACGCTTTGAAGGCCGGAAAGGTAGGACATCGCCGATCCTCTCAACCGGGCTTCAGTCTGACGATTTTGTGTAGGAAGACCCATGGTTCGAGGAGGTCAACTTCGCCAACACCGCGGCCTTCACCGCATTGTCTTTTCCATGGCTTTATGCGGTCGCCAAGCGTCTTCCTTTCATTGGAAGTCTGAGAATGTTCAGCTCCTACAAGGTACTGCTCGACAAGGGCCGTATTGCCGTCAAGAACAGCAAGCAAGCAGCGGCATCGCAGGCCTCGAATCTCTTCTCCAAAGTTCTCTTCCAAGCAGAGAAGGACGAAGGTTCTCTCACAGATATGGACATCTGCGTCGAAGCTGCAGCCTTCATGATCGCCGGTACCGATACCACTTCTAACACCTTGACGTACGGTATTTGGGCTGTCTTGTTGCGCCCGGAGGTGCAGACTTCTTTGGAGAATGAAGTTCTTGGGCTTAGTGACGATTTCACCGATGCGGAATTGGAGAGGCTTCCCGTACTTCACGCTGTGATAGAAGAGACTTTGCGACTCTATGGTGCCGCGCCTACTCCACTTCCGCGTGTCGTTCCTACGGGAGGCATCCAGCTTGGCGGCTACCATCTCCCCGCTGGAACCGATGTTGCAACCCAATCGTGGACTTTGCATCGAGACCCGGAGAACTTCAGCGATCCAGAAAGGTAGGGGTTGGTCTCTGCCGGCATGATTTCAAGCATTAACACGATTCCAGCTTTGATTACTCTCGATGGATGCCTGACGGGGAGAGCACCAACTCGGAGACCGCCAAGGCCGCGTTCACGCCGTTCGGGGCAGGGTCTCGAGTGTGCATTGGTAGGCACTTGGCAGAAATGGAGCTTCGCTATGGAATCACCATGTTCTTCCGCAAGTTCCAAGGCGCCAGGCTTTCGCCGGCGACAACGCCCGAGAGCATGGAGATGGATAACTTGGTCCTGATTGAGCCGCGGGGCAAGACGTGCAAGGTTATTTTCTCGCATAAGCGATAGTACGCAGGTGCATTTCCGGCAGCAGAGACCCGTTCTGACGAAGGAGAGGTTGCAACTCGTGTCTCACCAGTTTGGTTCGATGGATCCCCAAGTGCTCAAGTGCCACATGTGATTAGACAGGTCGCACTGATTAATACATACATATGCACGAGTGAAAGATTGAAAAGAATTAGTCTAGAGATTGAAATCCTCTGATCACCTGCATGTCTCGCGTCTTGCCGCAGGGCCGAAGATCGAGGTGTGTGCACCATCGCGGGGTCCGCACAACACCATGCGCCCCATCAAGTGTGTGTTTCTCGCCAAGTAGCCGCCACCTCTTCACAAGGCCCGTCAAAATCAGCCCAGTCAAGTTTGCTCCATTTCTCGGGGTTCTCAGAGGCCTGGACGAAGTGATTGATTGCCAAGACGGCCTGCGAAGCCCACTTCTCGGGGCTCACACGTCCTACACCCGTCGCCAGCGGAGTCATGAGCACGCTGCGAATCTCCTCGCCCTCGGCGGCCTTGCCTGCGCGGACGTCGCGGTTATGGCTGTCAATGGCGCAAAGCAAGCTCCACACACATTCGTACACGATTTCCCGGTCCCAGGTGACGTTCGTGGGCGTTCGCATCGTGGGGCAGAGCGCGACGCGACGAGTGCCCCAGACGTTGCGAGAGCGGGCGCGGAACTCGTCGGGGATGCGGACCAGCGTGCATGTGCCGGGGGGCGCGAAGCCGCGCCATTGTTCATAAAGCTGTCGCTGGGCGACGTGCGTCAGGGCGAGGTAGTCGTCGCGGGGCGACAGGGCGCGAGAGATGGCATCGTCGAATGCGCCGTCGAGGCGGCCGTACGAATTGGCAGGGGATACGATGGTGTCGAATTGAACATCTTCTGATAGATAAATGAGAGGGCACTCGTGAACTTGGACGGAAACCGACTCATGCAGCTCCCAAATCTTGCGTGCTTTGGCGAACGCGACAGCGAACTGCTTTTCCATGCAGAGAAGCTGGATCTGAGGGACGTGGGAGATCTTTGCAGTCGTCATCGTGAATTGAGAAGAGTTGAAGAGAAGGTCCACTCAGTGACAGTAGCTAGCTCCTTGACTGGCTACTTCTCATCAATGTTAGCTACCAATATTCGGTTCTCACAGAGGCCAATTCAGACGGCTGCCTAGTCACACCGTGGCTGCCTGCCAATGGCTTGGATTGTCAGCAGCCTTCAGTGGTCATAACAGCACGCAAAGTACAGGCCGAAAGCGCATCTGTCCAAATGCATTTACTACCAGGGAAGCAAACGTTTTTGAATTGTGGGAGACGCGTCGTGTGAAATTCGAACAAAGAAGAAAAAAAGAAGACAAACATTGAAGGCAGAAAGTGGATGATTGCGAAAGACAAAAATATTCCGAAACCGAGAATCGAACTCGGGGCTATGCCTAACCTCTCATCGGACTTGAGAGGGCATCATGTTGGCCACTACACCATATCGGATGTGGATACCGGAGCGGATGGTAGCCCAACCCAAGACCCGCAGCGTGGGCGGTCGGCTGGCCACGAACCCCTCCTGAACGCAATAGTAGCAGCACGCTGGGTGAACATCAGGTAGGTGACGCGAAGCGAAACGGGTATTTCAAAGACAATTAGGCTTTCTAATGGGCTTCTGAGGCGCGAAGGACGAACGTGACGCAACTTGCGAGCCTGAGGCGTGGGCTTCTAGGAAGGTCACAGTTGTGTCGAGGCAGGAATCATGGGCGTGGAGTGAGGTAGGTATAGAGCCAGGAAAACCGGTGACAATTTCATTCATGCACCATCATAAATCTTTCGGGGATATTACTTGGGATCTCCAGGGCGCTGAAAAGACATGCATAGAATGGCTCGTTGAGTTATTCTCCTGGAGGTCCATCACGTCAGGAAGCCACCTCGACCTCAGAAATTGACGAAATCGCCGAAGCTTTACCGCCGTGACCATTACTAATCCCCAGCGGCTCCCGCCGGGATGAACGGCTTTTGCCTTTGATGCCGCCTCTCACGTTCATCCCATCAAGTCTATCAATCGAATTATCTCAATGGCTCACCACCCGTCTTTTACTCTTGCCGGCCTCTGTGAGTAATGATCTCCCCGATTGACAATAGTGCATATGCCTAACATGGTATTCAGTGGCCGTCGGCGGCACTGCCGGCTTCCTGAAGACGCAGTCCAAGCCGTCGCTCATCGCGGGTCTTGGACTTGGAGCCGCCTACGCGTACTCTGGTAAGTCGCGGAGTGTTCCCCGTCACAGCTGGTGAGCAAGAAATAATGGTCGGTCAGGCTACCTCCTCAAGGAGAACAAGGACTACGGCGCGGAACTCGCTCTCGGAAACAGCATCGTGCTGCTTGGCGCCGGCGCCTCCAGGGCCATCAAGACTGGAGGGAAAGCACCCATACCACTGGCCCTCACATTTGCTGGTGCGGCGGCGACTTTCTACTATCAGAAGAAGTACCGGGAGTTCAAGTTCGGGGTTTAAATCACAAGGATTGTTCTGTATGAGTATGTGTAGGTGAAGGTTTTCACGAGGATGCACATGAAGAATCTCCCCTCGCAAGTCTTCCCAGTCATACTGTGCATCGGTTTCGCCCCAGCATTCGTTTCAAGCATAGAGCCGAGATCTTCTGCCAGATCTCTTGCGGCTACAACAGCACTGGCGTAGGCTGAGAGGCCACCCGACTACCTTGGCTGAAGGTCACAAGTGGACACGACGAATATGCGAGGCTGGCCTGTAGGGAAGCGTCGGCTGCAAACAAGATGCTATCCACGCAATAGTTCAAGCGACTCGGACAAGTCGGTTCCCAAGCCAGCGAAGTCGCACGTGACTCCAACGCGACGCAGGACTTCGGCTTCAATTGCTTATCTGTCATTTAGTCGGAAGGCGATCCGCACTCGGTGTTCCCAAAAAGCCGCTCGAAGTGCATATCGACAATCAAGACTTCGGTCGTGGGCTGCTCGGTTCAGTGGGGATTTGGGGTGCATTCGACGAGCGCACGACGGTCAAGCCGTTTCGAAGAGGAGCGGAGGTCGGGGTACATCGGACATGTTGATTGTTTCTGCATTGGTTGGCTGCAAAGAGGCCGGCGCCGAAAAAAGGTGCGAGGACCGAGGAGTCGAAAGATACAAGATCGGCAGGGCGGCAGCGAGAGGGAGAGGATGCAGACGGAGGTGGACGCCTGGAACACTCACCGGACACAGGAAAAACCGAGAATCCCACGGAGGAACATCGGCAAAGCACAAGACGCCCAGGGCTGACGGCGCTAGTCCCTTTCAGGCGACTTGCAATGCCAGGCCGCTGTGGATCCATCGGCGCCGATACCCGGAATCATCGGACGGGATTGCACTTTCCAAGAGAGTGCAGTGTGAACATGACCAGCATGTGTTCCCTTCTCCCAGTCTTCTCGAGACAAATTTTAGCTATTCTTTTCGTATCAATACCATGATGAATTGGACCAAGATGGCAGCTTCAGAAGGGAAGACCGGGCAATGGAGGGCCTCTAGGAAATAGGAAAGGAAAGAGATCTCGGGAAGTCCAGACTGGTCCTGCCCAAAGACGGACATTCCTTCTGCAGTATACCTAAGGTAGGTAAGTTAGGGAAGGTAACGACTTAGGTACTTTCTTCCCACGACATGACAGCCTCTGAGGTGACCTGCACTGTACCGGCAGGAACGAGACGAGAGCCTTCCTCCTCAGTGCCAGCAGGAACTACTGCAAGATGCAACTGCCTTGGATCCTGCCCCCAGGGGTCCTTCCATTTCCACATGACTATCCCATACCTTATGTGAGCTTTTCATTTCTTCGACAACGTGGTAAATCTCAACTTCCACTGCGCATCCCCCTTCCGAGACCCCGCATCCGCAACCTGGCCCATGCCGCACACCGTGGGATCGTGACCACGAGTTGGAGTCAACGAAAATGAAGTGGGATACCCCCTCAAAGGTCCGTGGCAACGGCGATTTGGCGCTTCCCACACCAGAGTCTTTGTCGACGCCCAAATCCCAGCTGAGAGAGCCTTCCAATGATGACACCAACGGTTCTCAAGCAGGTATGCCTTGTTTCTTGTCTTCGTACGACGCCTTTCCGTGAATGCTGACAACGGTGATGCCGCACCAGACGATTTAACCTACTACGCCTTCCAAAGCATCCGCAGCCACCGAAAAGTCGACACTCTCGATGGCACCGACGCCTTTGAGATGCTCGTTCAATGGGAAGATAACTCGACAACATGGGAGTCTGAGGAGTGCCTCCATCAAGACGCCAAGTCTGCTGTCTTTGAGTACTGGTCTTCCCAAGGCGGTAGGCACCTCTTCATGAATAACGATGGGATATGGTTGGTGCACGAGATCATGGACTTCAGGGCTTCGCGAGCTGGTGATGATCGATATTTGGTCGAGTGGGTGGGACATCCGAAGCACACATGGGAGCCAGCGAGCCTACTTCCGGCCCATCTAATTCACGAATATTGGGCTCGGCGGGAGGAACAGTCCGGAAAGCGACCTACAAGAATGAGGCGTGACGCAAGGCTGTCGCTCCTGCGAGGCAAGTTGAACAGCGAGGCTTCCCGAATCGAAAAGCAACAGGCAGACGAGGACAACGAGTGGATGCCAAAAATTCCCAACTATGTTCAGGATTAACAGCTTTAGGGGTGCCAGGGAACTTATCTTACTACAGGGATCCTAATTTCTACAAGTGCCGATAAGGGCCAGATCGCGCATCGTCTCTTTGCGCAGACGCACATCTTCAGATGGGAGACTGTGGGAGAACCATGGAGCGGAATGCGATTTTCGCTGTCGCCGCCAGGTTCAGAGCAGATGGAACTTTTCTAGTCAACAGCGTCTATACGAGGTGGTTTCCACTTGTTTTCGAAATATTAATACATGAACCGCATTGCATTGACTTGATCCCGGCTTGTTATTTTCTTCTCCTGTGATATTGGCCGCGCCTCTTATCATGACAAGGAGTGAAGGATCACCGATGTGATTAGGGGTCATTGTAGAATCTAATATCTAAATTTGTCTAGAAATCTATGTCTAGAAAACAAATCTGCTAGCCAGACACACCGCCAAATTTTGTACTGAGAATCGGCCAATACAAGGCTCCAACCACAAACTCCCTCTACCGACGCTCATATTCCCACAATTTCACCCTCAGCACTAGTAGGGCTTTTGGCCAACGCTTCATCAAGTTAGTGGGAAATCCCAAGGCAAATGAATGGCGGGGACTTACATGTTGCCAGCTGGTGAGTAGCGAGCGACCACATAGGTCTTACCCGAGGCAGACTGCGCAGTCGCCATTCCAACCTTGGTGGTAGTCTTCCAGACACATTGAGCTGGAAACTGTCAGCAAGTTGCTCTTCGTTGAGATGACAGCTGCTCTTGGACGATGTAACTTACTGTAGTGACCATAGTCTGAGAACTGCTTTCCGTTCGAGCTAGCCAGAGGGATAGCCTGCCCGGTGTAGTATTGCTTCTCGTTGAGCCACCAGGTGGTAGCAGCAGCATACGGGAGGCTGCCGCTGCCATACTGGTAGTAGAGGTTCTCGCCTTCATTTCCTCTGTTCGCGTCGTGCTGTAGCTTGTCGATGCTCGCGAGGGTCTTGGCGTATACTTGAGCATCGTTGGCAAGACCGGCGTCCCAGGTCAAAGGTGAACATCCAACAAGCTTTCGCGCCTCATTGTGAAGGTTTACGGCATTCTGCTGGTCGGCGGTAATGCCCGGAATCGATGTAGGCGAGGTTACAGAGGTAGCGGAAGCAGTTCTGCTGCTGGACGATCTAGTGCTGGATGTTCTGCTGATGGTCGAGTTGGCCAATCCCGTTGAGCTGGTCAATTTGACCGTGGTTGTGAGGATGGAAGTTGACCGGATGATCGTGGTCTTGTCAAAGATGGCGGGAGTGCCGGCTGCCGGGAGCAGACTCTGGACATCAACAAGAACAGGGGCTTGCGCCGTGACGCTGGTAGCAAGCAGAGCCGCTGAGAGAGTTGCACTGGTCGAGAAACGCATGGTGGGCAGAATTATCTAATCTCCGGGATTCGAAAGTCGGGTAAATGTCGAAAAGAAATAAAAGAACAAGAAAATGGTCCCTGCCAGATGCAAAGTTGAAGGATACCCGTAAAATAACTGGGAAGATGGACACGATGTGTCAAGGGAGAGTAGCAAAGGTGGGCTGGAGAACTGAAGAGAATCCCTTGAACCTGGATGTTCCAGCTGCCATATATATCATTCCATGTTTCTCAAGTGGCCTTCGAGTTCTCCAGGAAAGGCCGGTATTTTTGCCGTTTTCGTCCCCATCTCATTCGAGACCATTGGCCATTCTTTGACGCTCAAGCCACGACATCAGGTAATTAAACAGTAAGACAGAGTGTCTCGCTTTGGTGCGGCAGGACGGCAGTCAAGCCCCCTCAGCCTCACCCCATCTAGCCCACGAGCCCTTTGTTGAATATGCGAAACACCTTTCGTCGCTT